TTTTTTGTTCAGTATTTTGTGAGGATAAGCTCTGATGTAAACACAGATTTAATTCCGAATCAGATTCCGAGGAATATTTGTAAAGTGTGCTGTTTATGTGTATTACCTAGTTTGAAGGTAAAATGCTGTGTGCACAGTATTATTTTAAATGCATCTGCCAATAGAAGCTCATTTTTTTAAATAATAATTCGACGAAATATATAATAGTAATAAATATTTAAATGCCCATTTCTTTTTAATAAACAATAGGTGACAGATTTGCAATGTTATGGATCTTACCCAGTCATGAGTAAAGTTTTCCTTTGGAAGCTGATGAAAATAAACATGTATCTACATAGAATTTCTTGTTATTTTTCGATATAAATATAATTTAATATTTAAATCATGTGTGTATGGCCTAATTTATACAATGCTAGCAACTAGCGTGCTAGTCTTCTAGCGCGAACTAACAGTTAAAAAATATAATTCTATTTATTTATATTTTTTTTTTAGAAAACTAGCAATTAAAAAATATAATTTATTTATAATATAATTATAGAATTCTAGTTTGTTAGCAGACTAGCACGCTAGTTACTAGTAAAAAAGTAAAATTATATAAATCAGATCTGTACATGCATTTCTAGGCTCAATATATTACTCAAAGATTTGCAACCAGGGACATCGAAAATATTTTACATAAATTTTCCAGCAATGGTTTTACATAGTCCAAAGGTTATTGTAAAACTGCTTATAACAAACATAGATGCAGTGAGTGCTTCGTGGAATATCAAAAAAGTTCAGCTCTGTTCTTGTCGGCCAATTGTAAATACTCAAGGCTGTCTCAAATTTCAACGTGCAAAGTACGATTGCTTGCATAGGAAAGTGTGTTCTATACAGCCAAAAGCGATAAATCTTAAAGTATAAATAAGCTATAATTTTATAATGTTACAGTAACCTTCTTTATTGTTACTTTATTATCACTATTATTAATTTATCATTTTAATAAAATGCAGCCAAGAGAAGAGATCTGGATAACATTAGAGCTGCATTATTTATTATTAGGCCAGACCGAGACAAAGTGGGATTTAGACCTCGGAGACAATCGTCACATATTTTTCATTATGATAATTGAATGTTTTTCTGATTCTGATAATAAGCTCCAGCTTTTAAACGGCACGCATTTCAAATTCCAACCTGTTTATTTTGGAGAAAAAGATCCTATCTATCAGGTTATTTTTAATTGCATTTAAACATACAATAACGTCCATAACGTCTATAACGTGAACATTTTTCAGGTATGTTGGGTACATAATAGTACAAATCACAGCATCCCGTTTTCTATAAATCCAAAAACGATGTACGAAATAAATCAGAAGTATTGCTATAAAGTTTTTTCCTGTGAGACTCTACATGCAATCGTGAATCCGCAAACTTCTGTTCCGATCCTTTTAAAATTTCAACCAAGGAACTTCGGCATATTTGAAGTACATATATAACAAATTTAACACTATACACATTAGGACTCCAGAAATTCTAGTGCAATTTGTTAAATAAAGATTTTGGTAAAACTTCTGTTTAGAGGAACTTTCTCCGATGATCCTGACCTTGACATATATTATCAAGATCATGACCCTGAGTGACTTCCAATAGGTTTTAACCGTTGCTCATCCTTCGTTAAAAAATTATGAATAAAAAAATTTGAAAAATAAAGTCTCTTTTCTACTACATGAAACAAAAATTCTCTATTTTAAAATATATATTATGATTTTCCACGAGAAACGACTCTTATCCCTTCCTCCCCTCCTACAAAGGAGCGATTCTCACCTCTCCCTCCCCCCCTTCAGGGTCATGACCTTGATAACATACGTCAAAGTCAAAATCATCGGAGAAAGTTTCCCTGAATAGGAGTTTTACCAAGATTTTTTGTTTTTTAATTTTTTTTTCTTTGAAAAATAATAATCCTAATATATCTCCTTAATTCTATCGACACATTACGGACCTGTTCCTTAATCAATTCTCCGATTGAAAAAAAATTAATTGAAATATTTTCATTTTTACGGAAATTACGATAACAAATATAGATGGGATCCTATGAATCCGAGTGTGTATAACTAAGATTAATAGATAAAATTAATGAATAAATTTTTTTTCCAAATAGAAATTGATATATCTCTCTATCGTTAGGGGAAGTTGCGTTTAACTTTGGGTGATAGAGAAGAAGAACTGATACTCAAAGGCGAATCATTCTTGTCACCAACAATAACTACAGAAGATGTTCCATGCGAACAAAACTTCAAGGATGAGGATAGTCCTATATACTTTAGTACTGATTGCATAAATGTTTCTCAGATAGCTACGCACAGCCATGTAGTTAAAATGATTATGATACATAATAATTTGCAAGACGTACTCGCCTACGAATGGAAAAGGTTTACTTGAATTAAGCTGTGGATTGTGGAATAAATTATTGAACTGAAAAGTGTTTTCTGAAGTGAATTAATATTTCTGCATTATTCTATCAGACATGAGACATCTGGAATTATTCACGTGGAAATTTATCCGCCAAAAGGCTTGATAAAGCCAATGTCTGTCAAAAGCTTCCGTGTAACTATATATACTAAAGGCTTTCCTTGCATAATTGATATTAATATATCGTGCGAATTTATTAATGCTAATCAAAGGCGGATCTATCAACGAAATGTATACATTCTCGAAGGCTTGTCTCAGGAACTGAAGGGACAGTTTACTATTACGGAAAAAGGCATCAGCGTTCCAGTAAATAAAATACATAAATTTCTCTCGCAAAATGTTAAGACTTTAAAATGATTTAAGAAAGTTTTAATATAAAACTTGTAGAAAAGGAAATCCATTTTATGTAAAAATAAAAGTTTTTCTTTAAATTTATGTACTCTTTTGCCTCTAGGAATTATCGGTGAAAATCTTGAAAAAACCTCAGCCATTTTACAAAACCATAACAATTCAATGTTCTATCTATAGCGTAGAAGACAAATTTCTGAAAGTTAGTCTAATGAAAGAATTAACAAATGCGCCGCCAGAAGGAATATGCATTGAGGAAAATGAGAGAACGATGACATTCGGGAAAAAAGATATTAGTCGATCTTCGTTTATTATAGAAGGTCTACTGTGGTAAATCATTTACTTTCCAAATATTATAATAATAAGCAAGAAGAGTAGATTAATTTGCTTATAAAAATGAATATAAAATGAATGTGTGTATTTTAATGATACATTCGTCACATTTTAGGGAAATAGTCAACAGTAAACTGTTCGAAAACATAATGCAAGACATTTTACGGGAAAAATCAAATTTATTTTATTCGCAATTTAAAATGAGTTTGTATGAAAGACAAAGACTGATACAGAGATCCTACATTTCACCACCGCGAGCGTTAATTAATCGTATACTTGAAGAGGTAGGATTTTATGCCCGGGAACGAGCATGGTAAAATACACTAGTCTGCAATGCTAGAGATCCCGGGTTCAGTTCCCACCACCATCAAGCGACACCAAAAAAAAAATATTTTCATTATATCTCCTCTGTTTATATCTCCTCTCAGAAGGCAATGGCAAACCACCGAGAGTGTACCTAAGGCCCAAGAATAAAGGAAGATGTTAAAAAGAAACTGATTTTTGCTCATAAAAGTGTGAGTAAAAGGAATAGCATTTTTTGTAATATTATAAAAATATTAATAAAAGTTCGGGATCAATGATAAGGGAACGTCTTAAAAATGAATATGATATATTTGAACAAATTTCAATATTCTTACTTACCTTTTCAAAGTGTTCCCCAAGTGCCATGAAGTTTTTAATAATTTTATCATTTATAACTATTTTTTTACTTACATCTTTTCAGGCAAAAACTGCTCCTTTTTTGAGGGATATTAAAAAAAATCCGATTTTTGTCTAAAAGAATGTAAGTACAAGAAATAGTGTTTTTTGTAGATTATGACTTCCTGAATATGATAAAATTATTAAAAAGTTCATGGTACGTGGGGAACTTTGAAAAATAAGTAAGAATATTGAAATTTGTTCAAATATATCATATTCATGCTCAATTTTCAAGGTGTTTCCTATCGATCCCGAATTTTTTATTAATATTATCGTATTCAAGAAGTCAAAATCTATAAAAAAACGCTATTCCTTTTACTTACACTTTTATGCGCAAAAATTTGTTTCTTTTTAAAATCCTCGACTTAAATGTAGATCCCATACAACTGTATAACAGTGTACGCCACAGGCATAATAGAGAAGTTATCAGCTAGGATTATCTTCTTGCAATTGAATTGATAAGCGTTATCAATAATCGGCAATGCTGTAGGATATAGCATGTTCTAAGGCAATAAAAACTTGGTCCTCCATATCAGTAATGTCACTGAGAGCGTCAATAGACAGATCGATATAAAAATAATCAGAAATGAGCATTCTGCAATCAGAATTAAAAAAAAAAAATTAAAAAATCTTTATTTAGCAAATTGCACTGAAATTTCTGGAATCCTAGTGTGTATAGTTACAGTTAAATTTATTATATATACATACATACATATATATATATATATA